CTACGACTTAGCATACTAGACTATCCCCCTAAATTCTAAGTTCCCTAGGTTTTACGGTAGTTTACAAGACGTTTTCATTCCTTGCCTACGAGAAATTAGAAGTCTAATAAAATTTTCAAATTAGGCATACCTTAGTTTCATCGATGATTTGGGACTTCCTCTTCTTCGTTCTTTGTCTTTTGACTTATTTTTGTATGAATCGGTCTTCGACAAAATGCCAACAAGAATATCAGAGTGAGGAGGGATTTCAAAATTGGAGTTTAGGTTCTTGTTTCTTCGTACTGCTGGTTTTACTTAACTGACTAGGTTTTCTTCGTATATTGTTGAAAAATCCATCACACGTTTATGATTAGATGTTTTTGACTTAACGTGGCAGAATTTCGTAAAACCGAATTGCGTTTAGAAAGTTCAAATCGTTTAGGCAACTTTGGTTTTGAGTCAACCGTTTCAATTTTAGACGATCGATTCGAACTTATACGAAAAAGCAAGTTTTTAAGTTTTTTTTATCGTAAAGTTCCAATGGTTACTCCGATTGGGACGAAACAAAAAGCATTTCGATCGAGATTCGAGATAGAAACGTTTTGGATCCGTCGAGCTTGTCCAACTCGCCCAGTGGCAAGTCGGTGATTACATTCCCGATTCGTTGAGCCGACTTGTTTTCGTCGTAAAATCTCAATGGAAACTCTGATTCAGACGAAAACAAAAGCAGTGAGATTATTGTTTGGAGTACGATCAGGCTCACCATGGTTGTGAGTTTGATAGTGCGGACCCTTGGGGAAAAGTCAGTGCCTGGAGGGAGAGGTGAAGGCCGACCAGCTCGCCAAGACGGCGAGCTGGATGGTAAGGACCCTCGGGACAAAGTCAGTGCCTCGAGGGCGAGGTGAAAGGCTGACCAGCTCGCCAGCTTGGCGAGCTGGACGGTACGGTCCACTCCACGAGTAGCCTAGGGGTTTTTTTCCGCGAGTAACCTAGGGTTTTTCCGCGAGTTGCCTAGGATTTTTACGCAGTTTTTGGGAGAGCAAGTTTTATTTTTCCGAAAAGTTCTCGGAAAACGTCTTTTGGTCAATCCATATGTAATGAGATTTTTCCAACTCGGAAATAAGAGAAACATTACGGGGTTTGATAGATTTTATCGTTGCCCTTTTTGTTCAGAGAGAGAACTCGCGAGCTTGTTTTGTTGCTCCTCCCATGACGAAAAGTCGCGATTAGGATTTTCGATTTTTTTAAGTACTACAGAATTTGCGTGAGCGTTGGCTATAGGAGTAATCGCTGTTGGAGTTTTCTTACCAGCGTTTTTGCAAGCTGTGACTTTGTCTTTCATATATCCAGACATCGTTTGATCAAGTGTTTTGCGGCTATGAGTTAGAGTAATCCGTACCCCTCCCCCCTCTTTCTAGCGCCAAACTTTGGGAACCGGAATTCTCACCGTCGATTTTCCGTAAAATAAGGAAACTTAGGAAAACCCTAATTTTCTAGAGGACCCGGATCTCTGCAAGCCAACGACAAATAACCAAATAAATGCATAAAATATGAAAACATGATAAAACAAATTGATAAAGAAAGTAGATCTTATTTCGAATTCGCGTAAGAGCGTTGCGATCATTACAAGAGATTATAAACAACAAAAGACGAAAAAGATAAGAAAAAAAAAAACCCTAAACCCTAGTTGAGTTATCTAGTTCTAGCAACATAAAACCCTAAACCTAGTTGAGTTGCAGCTCGATAACAAAAAACGAAAAAGATAAGGAAAAAAGGTTTTGATTGATTTCAGACTGAACCTTATGAAAGGCTGCCTATGTATCCCCTTCGAGGATCAAGCCGGACGTAGTTCAATTGATAGAGCTGGACAAGATATCAAACTGCCTGGGCGAGTTCGTCTAGTAATTGAGTGTCAGTCATAGAAACCGAACTTGTCGAGCGCCTAAGTTTCCAAGTGCAGAGAGTTCTAAGTCTAGAAAAGTTGTATCAGTTTTTCTCTTCTTGGTTTCGACCTTGTGCTTATATACTCTTCCTCTAGGCAGTTTTGTCTTCGTTTTCCACCCCGATTCGTGTTTATCGGAAATCTTCCATTTATCTCGATCTTCCCATTTTTCCTTCGAAAACTTATATTTTGTCTTCAAACTTAACATTTATCCTTTCCTGCGAATATTGAGTAAACCTTCATCATATCTTTGGGCTGGATCTCGTCTAAAGTCGTGAGTGGGAATTTATCGAGTTTTAGGACTTTCCGGGCCGTTTTGCGACTTAGCTATTTTACGATTTTAGACGGGATCGCTCCATGATACGATACGTTTTATAAAATATCTCGAGAAAATCGTATAATTTTGGCAATGTCCGGTGTTTCTTTTAACCATTGCCGTTTTATACGAAAATAAGTCTTTCGCGTTTTTTATGAAAAAACTCCAACTGTAAGTCCGATCAAGACAAAACGAAAGATGTTCATGTGGACGGGACAGTTCGGCTCGCCAGCCGGCGAGCTCTTCAAGCACGGCCAGCTCGCCAGCTGGCGAGCTGGATGCTGGCGAGCTGGACGGGACAGTTCAACTGGCCAGTCGGCGAGCTGGTCCAGCACGGCCAGCTCGCCAGCTGGCGAGCTGGACGGGAAAGTTCAGCTCTCCAGTCGGCGAGCTTGTCAAGCACGGCCAGCTCGTCGGCTGGTGCGCTGTACGGGACAGTTCAGGTCGCCCAGCCGGCGAGCTGGTCAAGTACGGCCAGCTCGCCGGTTGGGAGAGCTGATTGGCCGTGGTCAGCTCGCCAAGCCGGTGAGCTGAGCTGATTCATCCAGTTCGCCGTCTTGGCGAGCTGGTCGGTTGTTCGGTTTCACTCGTTTCTTGTAGTTCTGACCCGAGATCCTTTCGGAGAATATAAGGAAAAGTAATACTAGACGTTGATTTCGAGATTACCGTTTTTGACCCTAACAAACAAGGAGGTTTTTCTGATTATTGCATATTTTGATACGAGTTTTCCGTAACTTCGTATCTCCGTAGAAAGTCTACAGTTTTCTAATATGCTTTTTCTGGGACTTTTCAATTTTGACCCCAACAGTGCTTAGGTTAAGAAAGTGACCATTTATGCAGAAGTTCAATGAAGTTTCTGAAACTGAAGTAGAGGAAAAAGAGAGCAAAGCTGTCTTTGACACTGCTGGTCTTCTTGAGAAATTGGTCATGGAAGAGACATAAACAGATGAGAAATTTGTGGAGAAAGAAGTGAAAGCAGAGGAAAAAAAAAAGGAGAACCAAAGAAAGCTCGTTAAAAAGGCTAGACCCTTAACTTAAGATGCATCAATGTTTAAGGTCCCAAATCATGGTGAGATATTATTGGCATAAAAGTGTTTTGATGCATTCATTTCGAATCTACTAGTGTCTTGGCTTTAACTATCTACACATGTTATTTCAGAAAGAGTACATTGAATTCATTGTTTTATGTTTTCTTATGGATTGTTTTTGGGTGGTCTTAACTTAAAGATAAAGATGGTTGTTTGTTCATGAATGGTGTGGTGTACATATGGATTCCCAAAAAATTAGTGTACACATGGATATACTATAAAATTTGTGTACACAACAGACATGTACAACATAGACATGATGAAAATGGTATAGACATTGATATCATTGAATTCATTGTTTTATGGTTTCTTATGGATTGTTTCTAGATGGCCTTATCTTGAAGATAAAGATGGTTATTTTTTCATGAATGGTGTAGATATGGACACCAAAAAAAATAGTGTACATGAATATCATATAAAATTTGTGTACACAACACACATGTACAACATAGACATGACGAAATGGTGTACACATTTTCTTTAAAAAAAAAAAAAAATGATGTACACATCGATATCATAACACACATGTACAACATAAACATCATAAAAATTGTGTACACATTGATTTCATATAAAGTTGATGTACACAGAAAAATCATATAAAATGTATGTGTTCTAAAAATCTTACAAAATATCAGATAAACACATAAATCAATTCTGAAACAAAAAGCCAGTTCACTGAATCTGAAATGAAAAATCTATTTTAGGAGAAACAAAGATAAAGCCAAGATATAATGATCATCTGATCGTCACCGCCGGAAAGACTCAACAAAGACATGTCCAGACAATGTTTTGTTCTACCATATACCTCACAAATTGTGAATAGACTCTACAAACTAGAGGAGGAAACAACAAAACAAATTAATAAAATATAGAGCCTTGCAAACGTCCTCCATCTTCTATATCCAGCACCATGAACTCTCAAATAATACAAAGCCTTGCAAGTTGTGCATTGAACAAACGCAAAACCTTCATGCAAACAATTTACACAACAAAACCTCTCAACGTCTCAGTTTTTAAATCATTAGTCTAAACAGAGTTCATATCAGTCATAACTAATAGTAGAACACAAACATATCAAGCAAAGGAGACCTAAATCCTCAATCCAAATTCCGAAAAGCTTATGTTTATGAATACAACCCAATGAAAACAATTACATGAATGAGTAGACCTAAATCCACTTGTAAAACTACAATACTTCTATGATTAACAAAGGAGACCTAAAACAATATGAAATCACACAGATTCTAACATTAACATACAAGGGCACAAAAAAGTTCACGTCTTTATTCACATCATTCTTCCTCACATATATAACCGAGGAGAGAAGCCTTTGTAATCGATTTCCAGCGAGTTTCTCAAGAGAGGAGTGGACGTTTGGCTTTGAGAGCTCAGGTCATGGTGGCACATACCTAGATGGACAAGAAAGAGCTGCAGCGGAGAAGGAAGAGACGCGGCGAAGCTTAAATCTGGGCGGTGAGAAGAAATCCAATTAAATGACCTTCGATAAACTACAAAGGCATGGGCACGGCCAATTCGATAGACCAGCGCGTGCCCGAATTCTGGATGTGAAGAAGAAGAAACTAACAATGAAAGAAAAGCCTTGATATTTTTTTCAGTTTTATTTGTCTCGTCCTTAATAAAAAAGGAAAATAACCAACTTCAAAATTTCATGGGGCCTTTTAGTTACAAAATTTACAATAGTTAGGTTTTTAGTTACCAAAAACTGCTTTAATAGTACTATCTTATAATATAATACAAAGACAAAAAATGACCTGTAATGTAAATCTCTCTATTCAAGACTAGAAAGAAAAAAAAAGATTTTTTTGGAGTTTTTACTTTTTACTGTATACATATACATTTTTATCTTACAAAAGCTGCCCGACATATCTGAAATTAAGGGGTTGAGGACTTTTATCAACACCATCACTTGGTTATTTTTCAGGTCATCTAACTTGCAACTTGTACGTGTAAGACAAGAAGTGTCCCAATTCACAATCCACCATAAGTCCAGTTTATGAGTGTGACTCAGTTCCTGCTGCTAGAGTTATTTAAATTTGTGTAATTCTTCGTGAGTGATTAGAGCTTCCATGATGCTCTCGACCCATCTGCCACACACACCCATAGAAAGTTCAAGTGGCCGCAGGACTTAATTTGCATGGTTATGTAACAATATGACTCAATTCGGACCCTAGTTAACATGTTTCAACATATAAAAGATTTACCCTTCAAGCCCTGGGTTCTCCGGGTGGTACACCTTTTTAAATCCTAGTCGTCTTGCAGCTGAAGCAGTTGTCTCTCCTATGCAAGCAACATTATTACTCCATTGCTCCTCGTTTTGGATCAAGTTCTTCCAGGCCCTGCAAGATACAAGTAAATGATGGGACTAAACCCACTCGAACATAATAGAAGATATTTGTACGAGTGGCTGGTAACAACACTGCGCTCATAACTATTACTAAAGAATGACATTCAATGAAGCCTACCGGATTGCAGAAGGTGAAGCTGCAGAAAGAACAGGCGCAGACAATGCCTGTTGCAGGAGCATTGCATCTACACTTTGCACAGGAACCTAGCATACAGATAAACAAAGACTGTGAAGTATGGTGCATATATATCTTCAAATAACCACATACAAAGAACTGAGAAGTGATAACCCATATATAAATATTGACTAAGCTAAATAAAAAAACTTCTCACTGTTGTGTATGTATTCAGCCTCAGAACGTCAAACCCTCGCCTGCACAACCCTTCCTCTAAGAATCATATGCAGAACAGAAAGCAGAGTAAGCTGTGTAGTCATGGAGTTAATAAGATATTATAGATAAACTAAGTTTATAAAGCATTTGCCTATGTACAAACATAAATGAACACGTTTACAGGCAATAGAACAGTGCAAAATATATAACAGTTTTCAACTTTTAAAATACCAAAGTCAAAAAGTAATCATTTACTAATTCATTTCCTACTGATAGAAATATTATACCTACACATCTCGATCAAGGATTTTTCATTTTAGTTAAATGCAATACTTAGCATGGTATTCTCCAAGACTCCAAGTGCCTAGTCTATTCTATTTTTATTATCCAGTCCCGATATTTGAATTTTAATATGGATAACACTATAGCCCTGTTCGTTTGTTTAACGCCGCGTTAGCGACCTGCGACACAAAATATAACAGCAAACAAAAGCAAATTGCAGATTTTCAATAGCTTAGAAGGAGGAAGAGAGACGCTGAGGAGAGAAAAAAGAGTCAAAAGGAGTGGCTGTTTTCTGTTGCGACAGTGGCGTCGCCGGATTCCTTTAATTTTTTTTAGCAGCGTTCTATTTTCTCACCTCAGCGACCAATGGGAATGGAATTAAAGAAGAAATTTTAGACGCCCATAGCTGTGGCAGCGTTACTAAAACGAAAAGGCCTAATAAGCTCAACCGACTTAAGAAATCAAAACACATACCAATCTCATTGCTTGCTTTTATAGAAGCCGGGTATAAGACAGATGAACTTTTGCCCACATTCTCTGGAAGCTCTGAAGCCAAGACTTTACCAGTTGCTGAAAGAATGGAAACAAAGAGAAAGAACAAGCAAAGAGTAACAAATATGTATATATATATATATATATATATATATAAACCGAGTTGATAGACGCAACCCAACTAGCAAACATAAACATTAATTAGAGACATGCTATGAAAGATAAAATTAAGTTTGGATCATTAGTAAATCATCAACTCAGAAAGCTAATTATGTTCTTTGGTTCCGGCGAACAAACAAAGACAAGAGCATAGGTGACATCCTCCACAGTCACGGCAACGAACCATATTAAATGATGATAATGTAATGTACATTAATTAGATGTTTGAAGATGCACAGCTTGCAGATAAATGAATTGAATAGAAACGGAGTATATCTGAATATAAAGTAATAGAACCTTTAGATGGTGTAAAGGCAACATGAAGCGCTCCTTCTGCAGCTTGCACTGCATCTTGAAATATGCGGGCTGTTCCAGCTCCCACTACACCTACTTTCACTTTAGGAGAGCTAGCTGCCCTAAAGAAATTGAGACGAAGGGAAAGAGGATAAGTGTTCATACTTACAAAATGCTCATGAATTCGTATGTACACTTTGTCATTTACAGAATTGTGTCAGTATGAAGCTTGCATGAATATCTCAACACCCAAATGAAGACCTAGACTAGTCTCATTTCCTACATCAAAATAAGAGCTACAAGTCGGGGAGTGTACTCACTAGAGACTTTGTCCAGAAAGTTTTAAGATTAGAGAAAACCCAGTTTCATATTCTGAAAATACACTACTGGCTGAAAGAGATAGAACATCACAAAGCAAAAGAGCAAGAAGTAAGGCTTACTTCCACGCTTCGAGAAAAACAGAAGCTGCCTCTGGAGAGGTTATGATGATCCAGTCAAAGCTCTTATCTAGCAAAAAGAAAATGTATGCATATGAGGATGCCAAAAAACTCTGCAAGTGGATCAATTTCGTAATTGCAATAACCAATAATACATTTTGAGTAAGCAAGGACTGCAAAAAGGTGGAGGTTTCATGAATTGTGGAAAAAGAAATCTTAAAGGTAAGAAAGAAGTCTACCACTTAGTACAGAAGCAAGGCGATCGAAATCAGGTCCCCGAGCATGTTGAATCAGTGGGAGTTCTAAAGATGAAATCCCACGTTTCTCCTGCCAATGTACCGGAGAAGAAGAGAAAACGAGATTAGCTAATCGGCGAAGGAATACACAAATCGATGATATCCCATAATCTACATAAGAAATTTCAGGAAGAAAATTCGGTCGAGGAGAGTGAATTGCATACCAAGGCTTTGATAATTTGTTTGTTCTTGCCACTTTCTCGGGTAACAACCACCTGGGGAATCAAACTGGAGGACGAGAGAGACGGCGACAATGAATCTCGAACGAGGCAAGGAGGTGCGTAAACTCTCTTTTTCAGGCAATGATAAGGTGGTTGAAGAGATAAGACAAAGGAAGGAGAAAGAAGCGACGCCATTAAAAAGTCTTCGTAGGGAAGTAAGTGAGACTTCCTAGGGGCTGCAGGCCTCTCTTCTCTCTTCAAGGAACTCATAATCGTTTTAATCGTTTTTTTTTTTTTTTTTGTCATGGAATCGTTTTAATCGTTAATTTGATTAAACCGAGCCACAAACAAAACACTCCTCTTATTTGGTTTTTTTTTTGGTCATCTGTAAATTTGATTTAACCAACAGAAGGTGAACAAGTTCAGTACACACTATCATCCCATCAAAACAAAGATAGAATCAAACAAAAGGACCTAAACCAAGGCCATGAGATACATAAAGCCGGATAGAAACCGGAGCCATAAACTTAGAACACAACTTTCACCTAGAATCAGTGGCGGAGCCGGTTAAGAGGCATGTGGGTCAACTGACCCCTGTCAATTCTCAATTTTTATCTAATATAACCATATAACTGCAATAAACATTGATTAATTGGCTCATTTTTAATGATTTGACCCACTTGATAGTTGTAAATCTTCCAATAATATATGTGTATGTAACTTTGACCCCGGTAGATTTTGTTTCTACCTCCGTCACTGCCTAGAATCATCTCGACCACTATAACTGTAACGTCCCGACCGTCCACGGCTAATGGGCCATCCACGCCTGCTCTCTCGGCCCGTGGGTCCCATCCCGTTCCAACGGCCGGTCCGTTAATTTTCCAAGGCTCTAGAGTCATGTTTACTGACCCTGCAATCACCACCTGACATTTCCCCGTGCTTTGACCTCACTTACACGGTATCGCAAATCACTTCCCGATAGGTCACCCATCCTTTGACTACTCCAGCTCAAGCATGCTTAACTCTAGAGTTCTCTCTGGATGTGCTCCCGAAAAGGTAAGTACACTTTGGTGACATAGGTAGCGAAATCAATTCTCTTAAGCCTTTTCATATACTACAAACCGGGATGTTACAATTCACCCCCTCTCAAAGAACGCAACGTCCCTGTTGCGCCCCACGACAGGTCTCAAGACGCCTCTCAGGTCAGAACTGAGATGGCTAACCAGCTCTGATACCACTTGTAACGTCCCGACCGCCCACGGCTAATGGGCCACCCACGCCCGCTCTCTCGGCCCGTGGGCCCCATCCCGTTCTAACGGCCGGTCCGTTAATTTTCCAAGGCTCTAGAGTCATGTTTACTGACCCTGCAATCACCACCTGACCTTTCCCCGTGCTTTGGCCTCACTTACACGGTATCGCAAATCACTTCCCGATAGGTCACTCATCCTTTGACTACTCCAGCTCAAGCACGCTTAACTCTGGAGTTCTCTCTGGATGTGCTCCCGAAAAGATAAGTGCACTTTGGTGACATAGGTAGCGAAATCAATTCTCTTAAACCTTTCCATATACCACAAACCGGGATGTTACAATTACATTATCAACGCTCCCATGAAGCTAGCACAAATGCCCACCTTCATAAACAGCCAAAGAAGCCGGAAGCTAGCATAAAGCTGGAGAGATACCTGTAGATGAGAACCCATCCTCAACAAAACCACTCGTTTTGTATTATGCCGCTATATACAAAAATAAAAGCGAAATTCAATAGGATAGGTAGTCACAAAAAATTTCAACTAAGAGAATGATAAAAAAAATCTATATTATAATAGTAGACTTAGGCTCCACAGTGCGTCACGTCAGCAATTTCGTGGTTCTCGTAGGTATTTTTTAAACACCCATAGTTTTGGTAAGGTGATTACAAACAATAAAATACACTTTATCCAAGTGGTATTAGTTGTTTAGTTAAACATGAAAGATCGTGGGTTCAAACCATGCAGCTATCATGTATTTTTATTTTTTTTTATTTAGGTTATTAATTATCATATGAGCTTTTTGTTTATAAGGTTTTTATGTTTTTTTGGGGTCATTGTTTTAAAGATCAAAATAGTTGGATAATCCCTAGAACTTAACAAGTTCAAACCCATAAATAGTTAAAAATAGATCCAAAAATGAACAAAAAAAACAAAAAAAAAAAGCAAGTCTCACGCGGTTGCCTACGCGTATGGGTTAAAGAGCCTTAAAACTATTCTATTATAATATAGCTCAACCCAACAATAATACAAAAATAAATCCCAACACGAACATACCAAAAAACAAAAAGTGAATCTCACGCGGCTCGCTACGTGGATGACTTAATAAGGTTTGAATATTATAAATTAAGAGCTCAAAAATTAAATCATTGCACATATTTCCTAATATATATTTTCAAAAAATTTGTATCTACGATAAAATAAAAAAACAACAAAATTAATTATTTTCATTATTTATTAAATAAATATGTAATTTCTCTTACATTTTAATAACTACTATAATTTCATTGAAAACATTCTTCGCCACCGATTCCAGACTCCGGCGAATGGATTCCCACAGTCGATGACGCCGTAGATAAAAATGCCACATCATTTATGAACAAAACTCAAAACTTACAAAAAACTATATATAAAAACCTATCTAATGAAACTTAAACAACGAATATTAACTTAATTAAGGTTTTTTCAAATTGATAAATTTTTTAATACAAATATAAATACTATAAATATAGAGTTATATCAAGTTTTGACCAACGATAAAAAAAACTATTTACAGCAAAAACAAAACACCTACTTTTACACACTAAAAACTATATTATAGCCCTATTCCAATAAACCTTACTTCGCATATAAATAACATTTAACACATTCCTTATATATTTTCAAAAAAAATTGATGTGAAATAAAATAAAATAAAATAAACAAAACAATTAAGTATTTTTCGTTATTTATTAAATGAATATGTAACTTCTCTTACATTTTAATAACTACTATAATTTCATTGAAAACATTCCTCACCAGCGACTCCAGACTTCGGCGAATGGATTCCCACAGTCGATGACGCCGTAGATAAAAATGCCACATCATTTATGAACAAAACTCAAACTTACAAAAACCATATATAAAAACCTATCTAATGAAACTTAAACAACGAATATTAGCTTAATTAAGGTTATTTTCTAATTGATAAACCGTTTAATACAAATATAAATACTATAAATATAGAGTTATACCAAGTTTTAACCTACGATATAAAAACTATTTACAGCAAAAAAGAAACACCTACTTTTGCACACTAAAAATATATTATAGCCTAACTATTCCGATAAACCTTACTTTGCATATAAATAACATTTAACGCATTCCTAATATATTTTCAAAAAAAATTGTATGTGAAATAAAATAAAATAAACAAAAAAATTAAGTATTTTTCGTTATTTATTAAATGAATATGTAATTTCTCTTACATTTTAATAACTACTATAATTTCATTGAAAACATTCCTCACCACCGACTCCAGACTTCGGCGAATGGATTCCCACAGTCGATGACGCCGTAGATAAAAATGTCACATCATTTATGAACAAAACTCAAACTTACAAAAAAACCATATATAAAATCCTATCTAATGAAACTTAAACGACAAGGCGACCCGCTGTCCCCGTACATCTTCATTCTCTGCAGAGAAGTTCTTTCTGGGCTATGCTGACAGGCTCAGAGAAGTGGCCATATGTCAGGGATACAAATGGGTACTGCAGCACCAAGGATCAATCATTTATTGTTTGCGGATGATACTATGTTTTTCCTCAACACAAACCCGGCCAGCTGTACGTCGTTCAAAAGCATTCTTAATCGTTATGAGCAAGCTTCGGGTCAGATGATCAACACCAGTAAATCTTCCATCTCCTTTTCAGCTAAGACCCCGCAGGAGACACATTTACGAGTCAAAAATTTCCTCGGGATTGCTCAGGAAGGAGGTGTGGGGAAATACTTGAGACTCCCGGAACATTTTGGACGACGCAAAAGAGATTTATTCACCGGGATAGTTGATAGAATCAGCAGGAAAGCAGTCTCATGGGCATCAAGACATCTGTCTAGTGCCGGCAAGCTTGTTATGCTGAAATCAGTTCTAACCGCAGTTCCTTCTTATGCCATGACTTGCTTCCTTTTGCCCGTCAGTTTATGCAAAAGGATCCAATCCGTACTCACTAGATTCTGGTGGGATTCCTCTCCGAAAAAAAAGTATGTGTTGGGTGTCATGGGATGATCTCACCCAACCCAAGGCGTTGGGGGGGCTGGGGATAAGAGACATTCAAGCCTTTAATGTGGCTCTTCTTGCAAAACAGGCTTGGTGTATAGTGACTAAACCCGATGGCCTCTTTGCCCGGGTGATGATAGGGAAGTACTGTCGAGCTGTGCCCTTTCTGCAGATATCTCCCGCGAAGACATCATCACATGGGTGGAAGGGTATTCTTGAGGGTCGAGATTTGCTTATTACACATTTGGGAAAAGCCATTGGCAATGGGGAAGAGACACGGCTATGGAAGGATCCCTGGATTAGCACTAGCCTGCCAACTACTCCGTTTGGTCCAGCAAAGGAGGAAGATCAGGATTTAGTTGTGGCCGATCTTCTGTGTAGAGGGAGCAATGAATGGAATATACAAAGGATCAACTGTATTCTGCCACATCTCAGCGAAGAGATTCTGAAGATCAAACCAAGCTTGTTGAGTGCCGATGATGCTTATGTTTGGTTAGCCTCAAAGAATGGAGTGTACTCAGCAAAAATGGGATATTATGTTGCAGCATCCACTAAACACGGAGGCATGGAGGTCCAGGAACTAGAAAGAGAAGGGGCCAAAGCTATTTGGAATTGCTGCACTTCCCCAAAGATCCAGCTTTTTGTTTGGAAAGTGGTACATGGAGTTGTTGCACTTGGAGAAAACCTGGTGGCAAGGGGACTCCTTGGTGCCTCTTCTTGTGTGTTTTGTGGTGAAAGTGAGACTGCGGAACATGTGTTCTTACAATGTACTATGGCTCGGCGCATTTGGGGATCTGATTTATGGAAGCAGGGCTTTGATCCTTCAACTTTCACTAATTTTGTTGAAGCTTTCAATGCCTCGGAACGGCTTACTTGTCTTCCACCGCTAGGAGTTTCACACTCCTTATTTCCTTGGATATGTTGGAACATTTGGGTAGCCAGGAACAAGGTGATCTTTGAGAATAAAACATCTATAGATATGGAAATCGTTTCCAAATCCATT